GATCTTCCTATACATCCAACCAAGTTTTATTTTTTTATGTGATATACACAGGGGTGTTACTTTGATGTATTGTATTTTCCATTATTGGTTTTCTTTTATTTGACTATAGGTATTAAGGTGTTTTAGAGAACATTTTTTTCTTTTGAAGGGGTATCTTACATTTATTCCTGAGCATATAGTGCTTTTTATTTGTTTTTTAAAACCATCAGATAACATCAGAATAAAATTAATAAGTTCCCAAGAAGCAATGCTTAGTTTAAGTAGTAGTGAAGCTTGCATTAGTAGAAATAGTCACAAGGTGGCGCCCTTCCAAGACTGTCCAACAGAGTAACACATGAGACTAAGTCCAATTGAAGGAGAGTCTGCAGAAAGGTACAGCAGGAGGGGCCGAACAGAGCAACTCTGGAGCAAATAGGTAAATTAATCTTTTAAAACAGAAAAGAGTAGATGTGATTAAGCGCTTTAATGAAATAAACAGTGGAAAAAACAGCAGCTCAAAAACACATGTGAGGGAATACCTTCTGTCCCTCACCCTTATTTACAGATAGAAAGCAATTTGCAAGTGTATAACTTGCGCTGGAAGAATGCATGCATTTGCTTACCCCTAATTCAATATATTATGAATCCTTATATGGTTTAAGATAAAAATATGTAATTACACTCACAATATTCAGAGCCTAAATGTCAAGGCTCAATGTTAACGCACATGTGTTTTTATAAGGCAGATTTCAATAGGATTGAAATCCATTTGAAGAGGGTCGCGTGCTGCCTTATATAAACACATCTGCATTATCATCCAGCCTCAACATTTAGGCTGTGAATATTCTAAAGTAGTGAGTTAGCCCACAAAACATGGTAAAAATCTCAAATTGAAATTTAGAGAACACAAAATAAACAGAACTAGCAGGTAGTAGTTCATGCAGATAAGATTAGTATTGTCGTGATGTGTACATGGCAATCTTTTGAGGATTTAAAGATAATACAGTCCACACCATAAATGTTATTGCCCCTTCTCAATCCTCTAGTACTCCTGGGGTTACAGCTTGAGTAGCAATCTAGGGGAATAAGAACCTAAAATTGTGTAATATCATCAGCTGAGGAACCTCCGCCATATACACTATATGTGGAGCTCTCACATTATTTAAGTGCACTTGCACTGAATCTGTATCAGGTCCATATTAATACCTAGGAGACAAAGCATATCCTCCAATAGTGTAACACTGTTTATGTGGGGGTTAACAGAACTCCCCCTGTGTGCCCTGATCACCTGGTGCAGAGATTTAGACTGGCCCCACAGTCTATCTCCAAATATAAACAGAGAACGAGTCTCCAGTAGTCCAATAAATGCCACACTTTATTACTTCCAAACAATAAAAGAAAAAAGTAGATAATTAAAATTGAATAGCTGGCTCACAGTTCACCATCCACCGATGTTTCTGCTCAGTTTTTCACTTCCCTGAACACCAGATACGTAATGTCAGCATCACATGACTTATGCGTTTCGCCCTGGGTGGGCTTTCTCAAAGTCTGTGTGTGCAGAGTGCCAATCTTTGTTAAAAGCTTTCATTAATAAGCAATCAGCAGCGTTACAGCTGCATATGATCCACAAGGGATCTAAAGGGACACTTTAGTCAGCAGCACAACTACAGCTTAATGTTGTTGTTCTGGTGAGTATAATAGCTCCTTTCAGGCATTTTCATGTAAACACTGCCATTTCAGAGAAAATGCAGTGTTTACATTGCCCCAATGGACACCTCCAAGTGGCCACTCCTTAGATGGCAACTGGAGGGGCTTCATGGCTCAGGGCTGCAGAGTAAGCAGCCCTGCCGTTCAGCGTCCCCACGTTCTGCATGGAGACGCTGGATTTTCCACATAGAGATGCATTGCTTCAATGCATCTCTATGAGAAGGTCCTGATTGGCCAAAATGGCATTTGGTCCCGCCCCGTGCCAATTTTAGCCAATCCAATGCTTTCCCTATGGTGTTAAGAACAGAATATTTTATAATATTCTGTTCTTTAACACCATATAGAATTCTTAACAGTGCTGTTTAAATAAGGTAACCTCTATAAGCTTTTACATCCTCACTTTATTGGGGGAATTATTGGATACTATAGATATTAAATAAATATCCATAAAACAAATTGATGTTAATTTAGCACCAGATGGTTAGGCTTAATTAGATATTATGGATATTACACAAATATCCACAAATATCCATAAACAGATTGATGTTAATTTAGCAGCAGATGGTTAAGCTTAGTTTGGTTTTAAGGAGGTACTTTTTCACACACAAACAAATAAGAACGTTAACTTTGGCTAGTGTTCGTGACTAAGTGGCTTCTAATAAACACTGGAAATTTTGAATACCTTGGGTTGTCCACTTTTTCAAATGGTATGCTACAGTGGGGTTAATTTTTATTTCTGGGCTGCCATACCGTGTCAAAGGCAATCTGGCAAATTTCAATTTGCAAAAACAAAAATTGGCAAATCTTATATTTGACCCTGTAACTTTCCAAAACACAATATAACCTGTACATGAGGGGTACTGTTGTACAAATGAGACATTACTCTACACAAATATGAGTGTTTTAGAGCAGTAAAATGTAAAATACTGATGATATGATCGGGGAAAGGGCAGTTTATTTGTGAAAAATGCAAAAAAACAAAACAAATATAAACGCTAATTTTAGCCAGGGTATGTGACTAAGTGGCTATTAAAAAAAGACTAAACATACCCCATTTTGAATACCTTGGGTTGTCTAAGTTTACAAATGGTATGCCAAGATGGGGTTAATTTTCATTCCTGGGCTACCATACTCAGGGGCGTACCTAGAGCATTTGGCACCCGGGGCGGATCCTGTGTTGCACCCCCCCACTCACCCTCCCAAAAAAAACCTGTAAAAATGTTAAAGGTTTTATTTCTTTATTTTTACAATTTTAAACTTTGCAAAACCGCCTGTCAGCCCCTCCTACAAAAAACCCCTGTCCTGCCCCTGCCCCTCCTACAAAACCCCTGTCCTGCCCCCTCTCTACAAATCCTGTACTGCCCCATCTACAAAACCCCTCAAGAACCCCTTCCACAAACTCTGCTTATCCCCTTATAAAAGACTCCTGTCCCAATACAAAACCCCCACCCCTTCACACAAAAAATCCATGCAGCCCCACACACACACATTTACAGGCAGACAGTCACACACTCAGTTACAGACACAGTCACAAACTCAGTTACAGACAGACAGTCACACACTCAGTTACAGGCAGACAGTCACACACAGTCACAGGCAGACAGTCACACATACACATTTCCTTCGTGCGGCCAGTTTATTAGCTGTTTGCTTGAGTGAGCTGTACTGGCCGCACGGCACCCTAACTACCATGGGACACTGTGCGGCCACAGCTCACACAGCCCCCTCCAGCCAGGGCCGGTACAAGGATTTTTGCCGCCAAAGGCAAAAGTAAAGTTTGCCGTCCCCCATGTGACATCACAATGTCCCAGCCATATGATTTGCCATGTTAACTAACGCCAGTGCTGCAATGCCGCCGTGTTTACATTAAAAGGCCTGCAGGGACAGGCTATAGACACCAGAACCACTACATTAAGCTGAAGTGGTTCTGGGGACTATAGTGTTTCTTTAATGTGAGGTAAATTAGAGCTTAGTGCCACGAATAATATACCAGATTGCCTACTTACAACCAGATGAGGATGATGATGGGCTCTAGCTGCAGTCTGGCTCCACTGGTCTGGTGCAGAACAGGCTCTCTGGAGGCGGTTTGTAACTGTGTCACAAAAATCAATGTTCTGGGAGAACGGGAAGCAGCTCCATTTTTTGGGGGTCCTTTACACAGCTCAAGGTTTGGGTCCCAGGGTCCACCTTCATGTTCCACCAATGAGTTTGTTCACAGGGGGTGGAGTGTGTAGGGGATGTCCTGATATGTGTGTAAGGAATGCATTGTGTGAATCTGTGTTTTGTATGTGTAAGGGCTGCAAGGTGTGTTTCTGTGTATGTACGGGATGCATTGAGTGTGTGTAAGGGGTGCATTGAGTGTGTGTAATGAATGCATTGTGTGTTTTTGTGTGTGTAAGGGATGCATTGTGTAAATGTGTTGTATTTACAAAAGTGGTGCCTGTGTTTTGTGTGCAGGTGTATTGTGTGTGTATGTGATGAATGTCAATCTCTCCTCCCGCTCCAATTTCCTTCTCCTCCTCCCAATTTCTTTCTCACCCCCCCTCCTAATTTCTCTTTCCCCCCTCCTAATTTCTCTTTCCCCCCTCCTTTTCTTCTCACCCACCTTTCTTTTTTCTTTTCTCACCCAATTCCCTCTATTTTCTCTCTCTCACCCCCTTATCTCTTTCACCCCCTTATTTCTCTCTCTCTACACCCCCTTTATCTCTCTCTACACTTCTTTATTTCTTTTTCTCAATTTTTCTTCTTTTCTCACCTCTTATTTCTTTTTCTTACCTCTTATTTTCTTTCACCTCTTATTTCTTTCTTTTCTACCTCTTTTTCTCTCAACCTCTTATTTCTCTTTTTCTCAACCCTTCTTATTCCTTTCACTCCTCCTTATCTCTTTTCACTTCTATTTCTTTTTTTTCACTCTTCTCACTCTCTTATTTCTTTTCACCCCCCCCTTATTTCTCCCCCTCCCCCCTACCTCCCTGTAGCGTGGCCGAGCCCTGTATAGTCCGCGGGTACAGGGAGCTTTTGTTTCCTGTACCCGGTCGGACTAACAGGAAGTGCACACTCACTGAGTGTGCACTTCCTGTTAGTCCGGCCGGGTACAGGAGACAGCTGCTTTCTGTACCCGTCGGACTAGCATGCTGCAGTGAGGGAGCTGACAGGAGCGTTCCCTCCTGTCAGCCTCTCCTCAGGCTGCGCCCGGGCGGTGCGGTCCGCCCTCATGGATGCACCGCCCGGGCAAGGCTGCAGCCGCCTGAGGCTCTCTGCAGAGCGCTCGGGCGGCTGCAGCATAGGGGGGGGGCGGCGGGGCTGGCCATGGCACCCCCCACCCGGCTGGCACCCGGGGCGGACCGCCCCCCCCGCCCCCCCCTTAGTACGCCACTGACCATACTGTCTCGAAGGCAACATAAACCCAGCAAACCAATCTGGCAAATTTAAATGGAAAGGGGGAAAGCCCCATATTTGACCCCTGTAAGTTTCCAAAAACTCATAAAACCTGTACATGGGGGGTACTGTGCTACTCGGAGACATTGCTGAATACAAATATGTGTATTTTATTGCAGTACAATCTAACAGTATTATGACATCCACAGGTAAAATGTCACGCAGAACTTGAAAAATTACACATTTTCTTAAATTATCACACTTTTTTAGATTTTTTTCACATTCTGTTATGATTCATATATAAATATGTGATATGAAATGAAAGCCCTTTTACTCCTGAACAAAATTATATATAATTAGTGTAGGTGCACTAATTATGAAAGAGGTGAATTATGGTTGAACAACATATAGCGCAAATTGCAATTTTTTTGTGTGTTTTGTTTTGATCACAACTTGTACAATTGGCTCCATCCACAAGGGGTTAAAGAAGGTTTTTGAATTTTTAAATCTAAACAATTGGGGGAATCACATTGAAGAATGAATATAGTACTGCAAAAGTGACATTTTTAGATTTTGAAATTTTTTGCAGTGAAGGAAATTTGAAGACGAAAACATTTTTTAAGAAGATAGACATCAACAATTAAATTTTGAGCACAAGTTGCCACCACCATCTGTATGCTAATATTCCAAAAAATGAATTTACAAGGATTAAAAGAAATTGCACATAAGTTGATGATTTTGCACATCAAGCCAATTTTTTTTAAAAGGTAGATGCTTAGATAAGAATTGTGACAAAGAAGAATTCACAAGAATGGAAAGGGATGATCTCATTGAATACAGAAGTAAGCATTGTTCTACACAGGAAGACATGGGTATTCCAATTATTTTCAATGGCAGCAATCAAGCACAACATATTAAGAAAATTATAAATAAATGGTGGCCAGTTTTGAGACAGGATGAACTAGTCCATCATATCCTACCGGATAAACCAAAGATAGTCTTCAAAGGAGCACCAAACTTGAAATCAATGTTAGCTCTGAGCCAATTACCAGAAAACAAAAAAGGCACGGAGAACCCTTTTAATTTAGGAAATGTTTTTTATAAATGTGGATCATGAAGCGTATGTTGAACTAGTGCAAAAACAAATAATAAATGCACAGAATTGAAATCATACCACACTGGAGAAGAGTTCAAGATAAAAAAATTTGATCACGTGCAATACAAAAGGAGTAATTTATCTGGTATACTGTACATGTGTACTACAGTACATCAGACAAACAACTGAAGAAACGATTGTACCAACATAAAAAGGGGCTATTAAGGCCACAGTGTCTCAGCGCACTTCAAGGTTAAAACACGAGATGGATCCAAGTCAACTATACTTCTGTGGAATAGAGAAGGTGAATAAAGACATAAGAGGAGGAGACTACACCAAAAAGTTGGCTATCTGGGAGATGCAATGGATATTTAAACTTGGGGTTTTAACACCCCATGGTTTAAATACTAATTTGAAAAGCGAACTCATATTTTTATTTTAAAGAGAAGTACCCCCTTAAAACCAAACTGAGACTAACCATCTGCTGCTAAATTAACATCAATTTGTTTTATCGATATTTATGTAATTTCCATAATATCCAATAGTTCCCCCAATAAAGTGAGGATGTAAAAGCATATGGAGGTTACCCTATTTTAACGGCACTTGCTGTATTTTATAATATTCTAAAGAGGTAAATCTCTTTAAAATTAGACTCTAACATTGTAACAAACCAAATCTAACTATTATTGTCAATGTATTAAAAGTAATTTATGTAACAATCATTGGTTCCCTTATTAAGGTGAAGGAACAGTAGCCTATAGGTATCATTCCAACTTATTTTACATATTTTAATGTTTTTATATGGGAGAAGTTTGCAAACCCTTTTTACCCATGTATAATAAGGGTATTCCTTCAAAGACTCAATTTATTGAGTCTTTGAAACAACTTATTAGAAATTGTTATGAGTTATCAGGCAAGTGAAAGATCGAGCAGCAACATCGGTGGATGGTGAACTCGCAGTGATATCAGAAATTACCCAATGAACTGTGAGCCAGCTATACGATTTTAATTATCTACCTTTTTCTTTTATTGTTTGGAAGTTAATAAAGTGTTGCATCTATTGGACTACTGGAGACTCGTTCTCTGTTTATATTGCGAGAAAAAAGTGGGGCCAGTCTAAATCCCTGCACCAGGTGAGCAGGATAGATAGGGGAAGTGCTGTTAACCCCTATGTATACAGTGTTACACTATTGGAGGATATGCTTTGTCTCCTAGGTATTAATTGGGACCTGATACAGATTCAGTGCAAGTGCACTTAAATAAGGCGAGAGCTCCACATAGAGTTTATATGGTGGAGGTTCCTCACCTGATAATACACCATTTTAGCTTATTCCCCTAGATTGCTACTCAAGCTGTAAACCCCAGGAGTACCAGAGGATTGAGAAGGGGCTATAACATTTATGGTGTGGACTGTATTATCTTTAAATCATCAAACAATTGCCTTGTACTCATCAGGACAATCCTATTCTTATTTGCACGAACTACTACCCGCTAGTGACATTTTTCAAGTTTTGTGCGCTAACTCACTACTTTAGAATATTAATTTTTTTTTAATCTTGTGTATAGGGGAAGATCAGAGGATAGCAGCACGGGTTACATAAAAATATATAATATACTATTTTATACATTTAAAGGGAAAGCGCCTCAGATTGATATATATAGGCTCTGAATATTGAATTAGCAATACAGGGAGTGCAGAATTATTAGGCAAATGAGTATTTTGACCACATCATCCTCTTTATGCATGTTGTCTTACTCCAAGCTGTATAGGCTCGAAAGGCTACTACCAATTAATCATATTAGGTGATGTGCATCTCTGTAATGAGAAAGGGTGTGGTCTAATGACATCAACACCCTATATCAGGTGTGCATAATTATTAGGCAACTTCCTTTCCTTTGGCAAAATGGGTCAAAAGAAGGACTTGACAGGCTCAGAAAAGTCAAAAATAGTGAGATATCTTGCAGAGGGATGCAGCACTCTTAAAATTGCAAAGCTTCTGAAGCGTGATCATCGAACAATCAAGCGTTTCATTCAAAATAGTCAACAGGGTCGCAAGAAGCGTGTGGAAAAACCAAGGCGCAAAATAACTGCCCATGAACTGAGAAAAGTCAAGCGTGCAGCTGCCACGATGCCACTTGCCACCAGTTTGGCCATATTTCAGAGCTGCAACATCACTGGAGTGCCCAAAAGCACAAGGTGTGCAATACTCAGAGACATGGCCAAGGTAAGAAAGGCTGAAAGACGACCACCACTGAACAAGACACACAAGCTGAAACGTCAAGACTGGGCCAAGAAATATCTCAAGACTGATTTTTCTAAGGTTTTATGGACTGATGAAATGAGAGTGAGTCTTGATGGGCCAGATGGATGGGCCCGTGGCTGGATTGGTAAAGGGCAGAGAGCTCCAGTCCGACTCAGACGCCAGCAAGGTGGAGGTGGAGTACTGGTTTGGGCTGGTATCATCAAAGATGAGCTTGTGGGGCCTTTTCGGGTTGAGGATGGAGTCAAGCTCAACTCCCAGTCCTACTGCCAGTTCCTGGAAGACACCTTCTTCAAGCAGTGGTACAGGAAGAAGTCTGCATCCTTCAAGAAAAACATGATTTTCATGCAGGACAATGCTCCATCACACGCGTCCAAGTACTCCACAGCGTGGCTGGCAAGAAAGGGTATAAAAGAAGAAAATCTAATGACATGGCCTCCTTGTTCACCTGATCTGAACCCCATTGAGAACCTGTGGTCCATCATCAAATGTGAGATTTACAAGGAGGGAAAACAGTACACCTCTCTGAACAGTGTCTGGGAGGCTGTGGTTGCTGCTGCACGCAATGTTGATGGTGAACAGATCAAAACACTGACAGAATCCATGGATGGCAGGCTTTTGAGTGTCCTTGCAAAGAAAGGTGGCTATATTGGTCACTGATTTGTTTTTGTTTTGTTTTTGAATGTCAGAAATGTATATTTGTGAATGTTGAGATGTTATATTGGTTTCACTGGTAATAATAAATAATTGAAATGGGTATATATTTGTTTTTTGTTAAGTTGCCTAATAATTATGCACAGTAATAGTCACCTGCACACACAGATATCCCCCTAACATAGCTATAACTAAAAACAAACTAAAAACTACTTCCAAAAATATTCAGCTTTGATATTAATGAGTTTTTTGGGTTCATTGAGAACATGGTTGTTGTTCAATAATAAAATTAATCCTCAAAAATACAACTTGCCTAATAATTCTGCACTCCCTGTACATTTTTCCAACGCTTCACTTTTTAAATGTATAAATGAATCTCTTATTTTATCTTTTGGGTGATAAATGGAGATCAGTCCTCTGTAGCTGTCAGTCTTTAGAAGGAGCATAAGTGGTAATGCAGAGTTGAAGTAAGTGTCCTTGGAAAAGGTATCCAGTGGAAATAGAGCATGTAGAAGATTGCTGGCTGTAGAGAACTCGAGGCAGGTAGTCTAGAGATGCGTAGGTTAACTGATACAAGGTTAATGCTGAGAACATAATGAAAGTCTTAGCAGCAGGACGATAGGATTCTAGTAGGATCTGAAATTATCAGATGAAGATGCACAGGTGGAGGGCAAGTGCTGGTTTGCATGTTCAAGTGTTCTTTGTGATTGGAGCTAGTGATTTATGGGATTAACCCATTTGTGACAGGCACAGTGAAAGACAGTCACTGATGCTACTGACTGGATGTGTTGGGAAGCTTTATTTTTTGTCCAAGTGGATGAACTGAGTGGGTGGTCATTTGCCCTCTGACTTTTTCCTTTATTTGCTGGATAAATCCCCTTCTTTCAACTCTACTTTTTTCCTTCTCACCATTTTTCACCAACACTAGATAGCACAAAGAAAAATATTACAATCAATCATTATAAAACTAAGTTATCCAGCACTGTCATAGATACCATTTTAACTGCTGTTTTGGCTTCATGAATAGTCTTTCAGAATTAAGTTTGGTACGGACATTTGGCCGGGACACACAGTGGGAGGAATTCAATTCTATTGACCGGAAATAAGAGAAACAAATTCTGCCGAAGTTATTCAATCTGTCCTGCACATTTCTAGTTTTAAAAAATATGGAGTGCACTGAGTGGAAAAAAAAATAAACCACTTCAAGTAAACCCAATGGAGTGCTAAAACCTAACTGACATAGAAACTTACCATCTACAAGGAAAGTTATGTAGTAGGAAAATAACTAAAACAAAATGTAATTTTATTTTGTTTCAGTTATTTTCCCTACTACACCACATGGGCTGGGGATCGAGGGTCCATTTGGTGGCCAATGCACTTAGGGTCAACGATGGACATCTGCCATGAGGGACCTGGTCATGCGCTGTGCTCCTTAATTACGAGACCAGGTCCCTTCTAAATTCACAGGAGAGGTGGGAGGAAGTGACAGCCTTCATCTGAGCTCACTCCCACTCAGACCCAGCTGCAGGGAGGGGAGGACACTGAATCGTGAGGAAGGGAGGGTCCCCACTTGGAGAGCAAGCCCTTTACTCCCACCAGCCACAACTAACAAAAGCCATACTTGTATTTCAGTGTGTGTCAGTATGTCTGTACCTGTATGTGTATCTGCATGTGTGGCAGCGTTTATATCTGTGTGCCTGTATTAGTGTGTGTATCTATATGTGTCAATGTGTATCCGTGTCAGTGATTACATCTGTGTATCTGCATATGTTTCAGTGTGTGTATTAGTGTATCTGTGCATCTGTATGTGTGTCAGTGTTTACATATGTGTGTCTGTACATCTGTATGTGTGACATTGATTGTATTTGTGTGTTTTTGTGTGCCTGTACATCTGTATGTGTCAATTTGTGTCGGTATCTATATGTGTGTCAAAGTTTGATGCACATATTGACACAGATGCACATATATACTGATACACATGCAGATACACTAACACACATCCAGATATACATGTACACAGATGTACAGACACACAGATACAAACATTTCCACACATGCAGATACACAGACACACACTGACACACATGCAGATTCATAGACACACAGACAGGGCTGCCATCAGGAGGTGACAACCATGACAGTTGTCACGGGCCCAGCAATCATTCCCCATCTGTAGCGGCGGAACTGCCGCCGGAGAAGCTATACCAGGGCCTGCACGCTGATGGGCCCTATCAGATAGCCAATGCACTCAGGGCCACCCAATGGACATAAATCTTCTGCTTCTGTGTGTAT